TTTTATACAATTCTGCCTTTTTAAATTGAATACAATTATACAGGGGTGCTAGGCTTCTCTCGCTTCTGCAAGAACACTGAAACTCAGTATACTATGGTCACTGTTACTGAGTCAGTCTTCAGCTCACATTTTGAATCAATCCTACACTCAGGACCAAGAGTGTTTTTTTCACAAGTTTCCTAAGCCATCACAGCATAAAGTCATCGCTTAGCACCCTATAAATCTGTATTAGTACTAAGTATATTCTGCCAAACATATCTTCAATTCCAAAATTACAACAAGGCCCAAAGTTGTAAATCTGTAGTGGTATATTCTCAGAACTGTCATAAAGCTGCATTTTGTTGTGGTTTACATTATAACTGCTTTATTATATAAAGCACACAGAAATCTATTCCATAGTTTTGTGATAGGCAACAACCTGGAAACAAAATTTTTCCAAATTTAATTCCTGGTTTGTTTAAATAGCTCCTGTGTAACTCAGAGAAGCTACTGTAGATCTGTTCAACCAACCCACAAGAATCAGTGAAAATTGTATTTACTCCCAAAAAGGTAAGGACTCAGACATCTCTGGTTTTCAGTGCCTTGTCTGTAGAGAAGAAATATTATCACCTCTAATTTCAGCATAAACTAATTAGCATATTATTAATGGTCATATAATAATACTGACATACCTAAATAACATTACCTTGAAATTAAAAGTTAGTCTAGATGGCAGGAATAATTACCATTTTTCCTTACATTTAAAACTACCGCACAAGACACACTTTAATTACAAAAACTGTTTGTCAACAATCAAATTTATTGCATTACCTGGAATTAAAAAACTGTAGAATTTTTCCATGAGTTTTTGAATCAGCTGATTAGCTTTTTTAGGTCTTCCACCTCCATCACTGAGAAATTCTGGTTTACTTAGCCCAGATTCAAGAAGGTAAATTCCAACCTGCGGAAGGGTTATACAGTTATTAATTTAATTAGCTGTTAAAATTACAAGAATATTATAAACAGAAGAACATGAAAATAACAACAGTGCTTTGAAAATCAGCAAGTATAGACAGACATAATAAATCTACTAAAAACACCATGTAGAGGAATTGCAACTAAAAGGTTCTGTGATTCCTTTGGGTAATGCATTGCTAACAGTGGAAAAGTAAGAAGTCACTTTTTAGGAAAAAACACACTGAAAACATTACAAAATCATGTAGAAACTATAAATTTTCATCATATTATAAAATATATGGTAGCTGCCAGACTTTGCTGTTCAGAGGTTTCTATTTTACATTTCAAACAAAAAAAGAAAAACTTCCAAAATGTATACAAATGCATACCTTTAAAGTCTGAGCCTCTCCAGGTCTTTGATAAAGCCCAATTATCTTCTTCTTTTGCAACCATCTCAAGCCTTCCAATATTTCACCACTTAAAGTTGGTTCCACCAAAATACGTTGTTCATAAGCGCCCAGGTATTCTTTAGTTTCATTACTGTACTCTTCTTCACTTCTTTCATGAACACAGACCTGCAGTTGATCGTCAGAGTCTCCTCTCATTAAAGTAAAGCTCCTTTCATGGAATTCGTCAGCTAGAATTTGCTCAGAAGGAAGACGAAGAGTAAACTCTCCCAACAAAACCTTCCAGGACCCATCTGCACGGTATGGCAAGACTATAATATTTAGTTGCACAGACACAGGAGTCAAGATGGAATAAGAGTCTTCTTCATCATTAACTGTCAAAAACTTAACAGATTTTGAGCCACTGCCTTCTTTTTGTATGAGATCTTCATCAGTGCTATCATCATTTATAACAATGAAGGATGCAGAAGTGCTTGGAACTGGAACGTGGTCCTCATTAGTCACTTCATCATCTAATGTTACCATCTCATTTCTCCGGTCTTCATGCATATTCCAGCAGAGCTTTTTCTTCTTCTCCTCATCTACTTTCGATGGAGGTGCGCGTTTTCGACGGCTACTCATTTTGTTGTTTTCTCAACAGTACTTTCAGTATCTGCAAGATGAAGTAAATCAGTCAGCAATAAGCATTATAAAATCAAATGCCCACACTAAAATTTTACCATGCAGCAGTAGCTAAACTCGCAAAATGTTCAGACACAAACATATGCAGTAAAAACTCTAATTGTTCAGAAGCTTTAGTTCTACAGAGCCTCTCCTATTTCTGTGCCATCATACAAAGCTGGACATGAAGCATTGCCTTGTCCTAGATCTTATAATTTTTCCAGACAGCGATAGACAGAGATCAACAAGAACGCTTCATTTCACAGCTGTTACTCAGGCTCTGTGGAACAGATATAAAGTGAGAAGCAGTGGAATCCCTCAAAGATGGGGGTGGAGGGAGACGGCAAAAGAAACTCTATGAACAAAAGTGCAGGAAGTACAGGAGATTTGGGGGCGTGTGTGGGGAAAATACACAAAAAATTCCTCTTTCCTTTCAAAGCCTAGATAGACATGACATTTTAAGCAAACTTGACATAGGGCTAGTCTGAAGCTGACAATATATAAAACATGGCTTAGAGCCTAAGCTCTAAAGTTCTGTCCTTCGAAGTCCCCAATGATCTTCCTACTGGTATTCATACTTTATTTTCCCAGGAAACTATGCATCCTGGGACCTGAATACACAAATTACTTACAGAAGAGTCCTTAGCTATTCTATTGAATTTCAGTGGGACCAATCACCAACTAGATGCAGAGTCTTATTGATTTTGACTAACAGCAAAGTCAAATCATCCAACATCCTACATCCAACTCCTTGACTAAATCTGGGCATAGAACAGGTTCTGTGGATAAAATACCAGAAAATAAAGTACCTACACTAAACAATAGATAGAGGGAAGTAGATTATGGAACATTAGACCCATCTGGGAAACGAATCACTACATACTCAAAAACTGCATGCTCATAATTAAATACTAAGACAAGTAGTAACTTTTCTTTTTAAAAAGAGACTTTTTATAAGGAGCCTGAACACAGCAGTAGATCCATAACTGTGCCAGTAAAGACAGGAAAATATTTAGATATCCGTGTCAATTCAGCTTCTGCATACAACTTTTAAAGGAATGTAGGAAGATGAGAAGGAAGTATTCCAAGCTACTAAATCCAGTACGCCACATCCTTATGTTAAAGGCGTTTATGGTGGAATAGGACAGGATTCCTATAACTCTGAATAATTTTAGAAGGGTCTTGAGGGAAAAAAAAAAAACAAAACCAAAACAATAAACAAGCACTATTTGATGATTTATGAAAGCCAAACAAAACATTCTGGAATATAGAAATCTTGCCCGTTTGAATTTCAAACACAGAATCAATTAGGTTGGAAAAGACCTCAGAGATCACAGAGTCCAACCTATGACTGAGCATCACCGTGTTAAGCGGACCGTGGCACTGAGTGCCATATCCAGACTTTTCTTAAACACCTCCAGGGACGGTGAGTCCTCCACCTCCCTGGGCAGTCCATTCCAGTGTCTAATCACTCTTTCTGTGAAGAAATTCTTCCTAATGTTCAACCTAAACCTCTCACGGCACAGCTTGAGGCCATTTCCTCTCGTCCTGTCGCTGCTTGTCTGGGAGAAGAGGCCGATCCCCACCTTGCCACAGCCTCCTATCAGGTAGTTATAGACAGCAGAGCTGAGGAAAGGGAAGTTTTTCAAAGTAATGCCCATGCACACGGAGCGTCGCTGACAGTAATCGGGGCCAACCCTGACGGGAGCAAACAACGCACTTAACCCAAAGGAAGAGGGGTCCCTGCGGCAAACTCGAATGCACGTGGGCGCCAGCACGGGCACCGCACTCTGACGTGCAAAGCGGGAGAACCGCTCCGTGTGAGTGAGAGCCGCTTAAAGCTCCCGCGGCCAGGAGCCCACCGTGCCCGCGCCCCGCAGCAGCTGCAGCAGCGCCCCTGCACAGCGGGGCCCGCAAAGCGACCCGGGGCTGGACGCCGCACCGAGCGCCCCAGAATCCCGGGCCAGGGGCCTCCCCCGCCGCCGGAACGCGGGCACAGCTCGTTGTCTCGGGCGAAGAAGGTGACCTGAAGCTCGGGCAGGCGAGGCCAGGGGGATGAGACACTCCGCCACAGCCCCTGGAGGGGTCCGTGCGGCCGCGGGGACCCGGCCCCGCCGAACCCCCGGTCACCGCGCAGTCGGCCCGCGGCACCTACTACTCCCCGCACGGGCCCCGGGACGCCGAGCCCCGCCGCCCGCGGCACGTCCGGTCACCGCCCTGGGGGTGACCCCCCGAAGCCGCGAGGGTGAGGGGCGAGGGGAGAGGGGCGCGGAGCCCCGGACGTACCGAAGCGGCGACGCTGCGGCCCCGGCGGCCGCGGCTGCTCCCGGGCCCCCCCGCGCGGCGGTGGCGGCGGGGGGGCGGTACAGGGGGCGGTGCGGGGGGGGCGGCGCGGGGGGTCGCGATCCCTGGGCCCGGGCGGTGCCCGGTGGAGACCCCGGCGGGGAGCGGGGGCGGGACCAGCGGGGAGGGGGCGGGCACCGGGGTGCGCGCGCACCCGCGCGAGCCCGGCCGGCAGCCAATGGGCTTCGGGGACGGTGACATTTGCTCCGCCCCCCTCTCGGCACCGGAGGAAGAAAGCAGCAAGAAGAGCGAAGGGCGGCGCAGGCGCAGTGAGCGCACCCCGTGAGGGGGGCGGGGAAAACGCGCTTGCCCTCAGTGGGGCGGGGCCAGGTAGGCGCTGCCTGTGACGTCACCGGCGGTGGGCGGGGGAGGCGCTGCGAGGTGGATCTTGTGAGGGATGGGGGTGGGGAAAGCGGTGTGGTCCAGGTGGTGCACGGGAAGCTCCTTTTGAACGTGAGGAAGAGCTTATGTACTGTGCGCGTGACCGAGCACTGGAACAGTTTTCCCAAAGAGGCTGTGGAGTCTCACTCACTGGAGATGCTCAAGAACCACCTGGACGCAATCCTATGCCGTGGGTTCTGGGATGACCCTGTTTGAGCAGGGGGGTTGGAGCAGATGACCCACGGTGGTCCCCTCTGACCTCACCCATTCTGTGATTCTGTGGGTGAAACACCTGGGAGGAGAGAGGACACACTAAGGGCTGTTAAGACATGTGAGAAGAGCAATGCACAGAGTGGGTTTCTGGGCTGTCAGCACTGTGGAAAGGCAAAATGAGATCAATCAATTTTTAACGATAAATACCACTTCAGTAAAACATGTGAAAAAATTTAATCCTCTTGTGAAGCAGTTGAAAGACTGCCAAGCCAGTGGCTTGGAGTTGTCTTGGGAGGCTTTCACTCTCCCTCCTAAAAGAAGATCTTGATAAAAGACCCTCTTTTTTTTTTTTTTTTTAATGGAGTTCTTTTACTTCTGGATGTGCCTTTTGGGATTTAGCTATTATGGAATCACAGAATCAACTAGAATTGGAAAAGACTTCTGCGATCATTGAGTCCAACCTATGACGGAACACCACCATGTCAACTAGACCCTGACACTAGGTGCCACTTCCAGTCTTAAACACCTCTAGGCCACTGACTCCACCACTTCCCTGAGCAGTCCATTCCAGTGTCTATTCAACCATTTTGTGAAGCAATTCTTCCTAATGTTCAACCTGAACCTCCCCTGGTACAGAGACTCTCATCTTCTCCCTGTCTCTGGGAGAAGAAGCTGATCCCCACCTGGCTAAAACCTCTTTTCGGGTAGTTGTAGAGTGATAAGATCACCTCTGAGCCTCGTCCTCTCCAGGCTAAACAAGATCAACTCCCTCAGTTGCTCCTCATATGACACATGCCCCAGTCCCTTCACCAGCTTTGTTGCCCTTCTCTGCACTCTCTCCAGCACCTCCATGTCCTTGCTGAAGTGAAGGGCCCAGAACTGGACACAGTACTCGTGGAGTGGCCTCACCAGTACCAAGTAGAGGGGGATATCACTTCCCTGATCCTGCTGGCCACATTATTTCCTACACTGGCCAGGATGCCTATTGATCCAATCCATAAGATAGTGAGCAGCTGAAGTTATGTACTACTTTATGAAGTTATGAAGCAACCTTGTTTCACTCCCTCCTGGTATGCAGCCGTGTGCCTGGGCAGGTAGATCCATCTAAAGGAATGACATTCAGGTTTATGTTGAAAGATGTGAACATCAAATCTTCTCATCCTGAACTTGATGACAGGAGTCAGGACAGGCAGAGGACAGCAACTGCCATCATGGCTACTGAGGTGAGGGGTCGTGAAAGTGGCATGCTGTCAGTCTGGGGCAGCTTAGAGTCCCCCTTAGCTCTGGGACTTCAAAGGTGTGACTCCTCATGCAAGTGTCCTGCACCTGCTGTTGATGACCTGATGCTGTGAGAAAGTCCCACAAGTGACTGTTGCTCACCCTCCTCCACGTAAGGAAGTCTGGACTCAGCCAGCAATGGGAAACGAGAGAAAATCATGCACTTCTAGAATCCTTATAGAAATAGCAGATAACAATTCATGATTCAGTGGCCTCCATTTGCAGGATTATTCATAGGGCTCTTCACAGGGCTGCAATTCTCTTAAAGAGCCCTTGTCCTTTAGTTAGCTTTTCTATTTCTATGCTGTGTGTGCCTTCTAATAAATATTTCCTCTCCCAGGTTTGGATTTTTTCTTTCTTTGGTAGTGATGGAGGCTTTTAGAGACTTTTAATGTAAAGCACTTGTGAAACTGAACTTTTTTTTCTTATATGTGTGTCGTAAAAACTGGTAAGCAAGAAACGAACCTTTCTGCTTTCATAAGAGAGGGAAAACTCAATGGCATTGAGAGAATTCCTGTTCTGCAAGATGATATATGTCTAAGCCTCTCTTTTTCTCTCACCCCCATTCAGTACAAAGTATTTTTCTTGGTTCTCAGAATAAACAACCTCGTCATGATCCTCCCACCAAGGGAAGGAGGAGATAACAACTTCAAACAGGGGAGCAGTTGAGAGCTCGTGGTTCCCAGTTAGCCATTGTCTTGGCACTGCTCAAACCTCTCCTGCCTTAAAGCTGAGAAGTCACTTCACAGGTCTCCCTGCCCACTGATGGGGTCAAGATTTGGTATCTCTTATGACTTTTCAACACAGGAAAGGGAGGAAAGTTACTCAGTTTTGAAAATACCCTTGGCTAGAGGTGCAGTGGAACGACACCAGAGGTCCTTTAACAAGTAACACTTTCATTTGAAAAAGAATTCACATTTGTTAATTGAATGATAAGGGCACATGGGTGGCAAAAGACTATATTGATAAACCTTGCAATATCATATGTGAAAGAAAATAGTGGGAAAAAAAGAGATAGAAAAGAAAAAGGGACAGAGAAAGAGAAATCACTGGTCCTGGATCCAGTGTTGGACCAACCAACATGACTCCTTGGTGTATAAGGAGTGCTCATCCTGAAGCTCTTGGGTATACTCTGGTGGAGTAGGAGGCGCAAATCTTACCAGAGGTGTCCCTTTTTGGGGGAGGAGATAGTAGCAAGTCCACTGATTTGTTTTTAAGGTAGTTGTATTCTCAGACATGTAGGATTTCATATGCCGTTTATACTTTTGGAAGAAATGGAGAGTGAGACTGTAGTACTGTCATAAATGGAGGTGGGGCCCACCAATTTACATGTAAATAAGGGATCTCTAGAGTAACAAAGAGAAGGATTACAAAGACTGTGGGTCTAGCAAAAGGACAGAACAGAACCTTAGCATCATTCCCTCTTCCACTTGACTTATTGCAGTGATAATGGTCATATGTCCTCCCCTCAGCAAGCCATTTAATCTAACAAAATAAAAAGTAACAGTATAAAGAGGAGAGAATATGACATAACATGAGACCATGTGATTTTTTTTGACCACACTTGGGAACATAGCCTCCCTTGCCTATGGATAAACATTCCTCTATGCTCTGAGTAGCAACTCTTAAATCCCAGAAAAAAATAATCAAATAACATCAGGAAACATGATGCTTTACAAAGGCTTTTTTTTTTTTTTGAGGGAGATTGGAGAAAACAGCATGTTAGTCATTTTGGTATTTTAGGGTCCTTTTCATCAATGTTTTAGTTGCAAAGGCAAGCAGAAGTTTTTTAAAGAAAATAAAAATTGCATTTGTCTCCAGATCGGTTTTGGCAGAAAATGCGAATGGTTATAGTAAACGAAAAAAAGTGAGAGCAGACAGGCTACATTCCCTGCACTACAATGATTGTATGTTATGCTGAAGAGCTAATCATGCCATACTTTGAGCTCCATTGATAAAAATCACCATATGATAGAAATGGAAAGATGAACACCAGTGGAGCCATAATATCATTCTGGTCTACTCCAGATTAATAAAACTGTAATCAGTATTCTGTGCCCTGGTAGGAAATTATTTCTATAGGTTCAGCCCTATCCAACTTCTGTAGTGTTTGGTGTTTTAATATAGCTGGCATAGTGGAACTTTGGAAGTGTTATCATAAAATTGCTACCATCCACAGCGCATAATACTACTTTGGGCAAAAAGTAGAGGATTTAAATATTTTTTGGAGAGCTACAAAGAGCAGAGTATTATTGTGTGCCAGAAGCAATCATGTAAGCCAGTAAGCTAACTCCCTAGCATGCAAATAATACCATGAAGCCGCAGGATGGTAAGCCTCCCTTTGTTCACTTCTTCAAGTCTTCAGCTCTGTTTCTTCAAAACAGAGAATTTCAACATACCACTTGTGCCCTTCTGCCTCTTATCACAACATCTCCTGGGGAAATCTATCTGCTCCCCACAGAATAACACTCTTCAGGCCATCTGTCTCAGCTCACGTGTATGCACAATTCTTGTACACCCTAGTCCATATGCCACTCAGCTGAGCTACGTGCTGGTTTTGTGAAAACCAGGTGATACACCTGACTTCAGGACTGACAGTAGCAGCTGATCAGTCACTGGTGGGAGTTAAGCCCATCTCCCTTTTTCCAAGAGGAAAGGACAGTTAAAAAGACTATCTAAATATAGAGCAGAAAAAAAAAATAACCATGTCATTGCATCTAGGACATCGTCTAGAGTTGCTATGAAGGATTTGGAATCCAGTTCTTGGAGTTATTTAAATATATACACCTAAATAAGGTGTTTTCATCACTTTAATATTCCTTTTATAAGCAAAAATGCATAAAGAAAAAGGTTCCTGAGAAAAAACAAGACTTCTAATAAAACTGGAATTAAGTAAAAAATTTTTAATAATAAAATCAGTAAAAGCATTTGGAAATTTAGGCTTAAAATATAGATGTTGGTAACATAATACATGGCATAGTGGTTTGAAGGAGAACTGAAGGATGCTCACAATAAAGAGATATTTCAGCCATTGCCTCTTAGAGATATATTTCTTGTCGGTGAAAAATCTTGGTTTTCACACTCTGACAAGAGAATATTTGAGTTCATACCTGACTCTAATATAAAAAGGAA